GAGAGAGAGAGAGAGAGAGAGAGAGAGAGAGAGAGAGAGAGAGAGAGAGAGCTGTTATTTCGCGAATTATTTTGTACAGAGAACGATCGCGTTTTAACGGAGAATGACACAGAGCGGAAAAAAAAAATATCTCTTGAAATTCTCTTTTAAGCAACAATGAATTTTTTAAATGGTCATTTTACATGTAGTTAGTGGATGTTTTTAAAAGACTTTTATATTGTTGTTTATTTAAAACCTATGTTTTATGACGAATTAGTTCCTATAAGACAAGGCCTTTGTCGAAAAACATGTTTACACTGTCCAGATGATTGTTTCTGAACGGTTGATTTGAAATAAGTGAAGTGACAATTTTAAGAAACTACATGAAAGCGACTTTATTTTTACGTAGGAGTTTTAAATTTTATTTTCACAAAATGACGGATTTTATGAGGAAACAATTCAAATTTTTGACGAAAATTCTTGATTAATTAAAAAAAAAAAGAGAGGAAAATCTGCACGTAGAAATGAAAAGAATTCAATTACGAAGAATTTGTGACAAAGTAAAAGTAAATTGAATCAATAGCTTTTTTCTTAAATACCTTCCAAGCCAGCTTTAAAAAGATAGTCTTGAGAAATAAGAGTTGACCTAAAAAAAAAACGATCTTGCGGTCACATAGCAAAAATTATCTAGATGCGAGAAATCAGTTAAAATGGATAAATGTTTAGCAACTACTACGATATCGCGTATGTTCTATATTTAATTAATATAGATAATAGAAACAGAGTTTCTACCTGAACTATTTGTGAAATTTAGCACACAAGAAAGTCTCTCTCTCTCTCTCTCTTTCTCTCTCTCTCTCCGTGGCGCCGATCCAGATTAAAAGGCCAGGCAATTAATAATTGGTGTAACAAGATCTAAACTTGTCTGCGGATATCTAACTAGAATACTACTGCTGCTATAAATTCCACGTACCACCGGCAAATTTCTAGCAGATACAAAAAACAGCGATAAATTCCAACCGTGACACTTCGAATTCTACCTGGAGCAACAAAATATTTTCTTGGGTCTTTAAAAGTGGCCTTCCATGACGTTTCGCAAGTTCTCCTCTGACTTCGTCAATGTCAAGCAATTTCTAAACAATTTCCCGAAACTTCACAATCTTTCAGACGATAAAAAAGATGAATTTTTTAAAATTTTTACCGCGGTGCAGTCTCTGAACGCGTTGTCGTTACTTTGCGTCATATCGTCGATCCTCGTTTCTTTTGTCTCTTTTGTCCTTCCTTTTCCGAGCCGACAGATCACCGGCGACAATGTCCGGCGATAATCCGTCCCGGCGTGTTCGATCTGATTAGGCCGAGTGAATAGTGTCGCGAGAGCAATGTGTTCCGTTGCGGAATTTCGGCCGAGCTTTGTACGTGCCACGGCGAGAGTGCGGCTGCAAGCTGCTCGTATATTACTCTGGCGCCCGCGCCGGGCTAACGGCACTAAACCGTAGTGCCCGCGTATTCTATTGCTGTAACGAAATTTATTCGATTCGGCTGTCTGATAGCGGGCCCCGCGGGTCGTGTACCTTTCACTAGCAGAATTACGTGGCTGTCATCCATACGTCTATATCATATGCAAATACGCGCGCGCCACCGCCGCGCGTCCGATACGAAAGATCATTGTTGGCCGAACATAACGTGGCGATTTGCGCGCGCGGGACACGAAAGCGAGAGTAAAAAGAATTTCACGGGTTTCACGCACACGGTATACACGCACGCGCGTGCGTGCGAGCGATTGTTCTCGGATGAAATTTGCAGAAATTCGATATGCGTGGCACACGATGATCGAATGTGTCGAATACATTTGACGCAAAGTTAGAAACAGTACGTAGGAGGAGAGTGGTACAGTGGAGAGGAGACGGTTGGGGGCGGGATTGCGGTGTACACATGTTGGTGCAATCCCGCGCCCGTAAAATCAGCGGCGTTCAATTTTATGAATTGCACGCGCTACGGAATGTCAGTGGTCGGACAGGCGTACCTTGTTGTAGATGGCTATGCTTGGCACTCCGGGCCCGGCGCACGTAAGCACGTAATGCGAATTGTCAGCGGAGAATTTAGCGGTGTTGTACAAACAGCGACTGCCATCCGTTTCGCGGACAATGTTGCAACTCAAACACGCTGACTTGCGTTCCGGGTCCAACAGCGACACTCTATATAAGTGCTGAACCGCCGAGTCGTGCTTCGAAGTGGCCAGGTAATACCTGCAAGAAGAACATATTTTTTTCCTGTCAGTGTCAATCGGGAAATACGAGTGTAACTGCCGACACGACCTCGTATATCCGAGACGGAGTATAACAGTTAAGCACAAAGAAGCTATACACGTATGCGAACACGAATACGCGCCAAGTAGGCGTCTCGCAAAAGCGCGTCGCGAAAGTGCGACGAGGTGACGATCGCGTGCGTTGAAAAGCGATGCAGGCGAAGCCGCCGCGTCGAAACGCAACCGCGAAGAAATTAGTTCTTCGCCAGGCTGCATCATGGGACACGGAAGGAACACCTGTTGCGACACTAAGATACCAGAATCGCGATAAGGTCGAAGGCCGGCGAAGATAAATTGTCCAGCGGTTCAATGCTACTTCGCCGAGATGCACGTCCCGCCGAGGTGTATTTAACCGACCATCATATCTTGGATCTTGCTAATTTCCCTTCCCATCAGCTGTCTTGGCGAAGCTTCCCCGGCGCCAAGAGGCGCCCGTCAACGTGGACTCGAGTCGCATCCTTAAGCAGAGGAGAGCGCTCGCGCGCGACTTTCATACGACTCGGCAGCGTCATGAACAGTCTCGCATTCGAGTTCGTCCAGCAGTTCCGAACTATCAAGTGGCTGCGCCGGCAGAATGCCGCTATTAGATACAATCAGCAAGCTGATGGTGTAAATTGCGGCCATTGACTGACCGCCTATAGTTCGCCTATACCTGTGCTCGCTGATGCCATTGCGCGCTAATCAGATCTATTGTTCTTCGGTTTCCCTCTCAACGCTTTCCACAAGAAACACACCACGTAAAGGGAGAGTAACGCTACTGTTCTTCTCCTTCGACTTTCGTAAAGGGAACTTCTTGTCGAGCCTTTGTGTCTCTTTAATTACCATTTTCCTAGGTCGTCCCAGTCGAAATTATTTCAATGAAACGATCCGAAAGCGAACCTTCGGTTTTGTGCCAATGTTTATGTCGGACGATATTGATACTTAACGGACTCTTTGTTACTTGATAATTATAGCAAAATGAAATTGTTATTTATAGAGACAAAAAGAGAAGAATGTGTATTGACGCCGTTTTAACAGTCACGATTGCTGTTGTGCATTATGTTCGAAGTTATTTTCAAATTAGCGTCTAATTATATCAAAATATCAGCATAATGTTATCGCAAACTAGATAGGGCTTATGCTGTTTGTTTGGCAACTCGCTACATCTTACCCGTGCGCATACAAATTGCAACTCTCGGTAAATTGCAGCATCGCGAGCGCGAATTCCTAAATGTAGCTTTAGATTTGAGACCAATTAGTCTAAAGACTCGTGAAACTGGCAACATTCGTGCCGACAATCGTCAGATTGATAATCTTAAAGTTTCTCCAAACGGAATATTAAATCTTGAAGATTCTTGATCAAACTGTAGTACATTTATAATGAATCTAAGTAAATTTTACTCGCAACCATATTAGAAACCACGTACCGAATAAAGCAAAGGATTCCAAATTCGCAAGAAATTTCTATTCCGATTTCAAAGGAAACTTCTATTGATTGAGATAGACTAAGGAGCAAAGATGCTTTTATGAGAATTCCTCAACGTTTAGTTTATGGTATTGAAGGTGAAATTGAAGGTCGAATATTGATAATTACGTATCAAATCGAATAATGAAAGAGAATTCGCACTGAGAGAAAAAGTGTCTAAAAGATAAGAAGTATTTATTCAGTGGACACTGTGATAACATATTTTCTCAAATCTAAATTCTTTTGTTCGAATAAAATAAACAATTATTTTCTTGAAAAGCAATGGCTTCAGGAAAACATATATTTCTTTATTCAAATGCGACTGGTCCTCCATATAAAAATATATGTATCAGTACAAACAAATATGTTATTATTATCTCTAGGAAAAATATCATTTTTATTTTTTCGATATTTTTCTCAGTGTGTTCTCTCTTCAACTTTCCTTACACGAGGAGAACTGCATGAACAGCGTCTCTGCGTTCACATCCCCTCTTCCATCTCGCTCTCGGCAACGTGTCGAAACGTTACATGTGAAGTCATTAATTACTCAATAAGGTGAGGAGCTCAGAGTTTTAAGTCGGCGTATCGAGAACCCGAACGTAAATCCCTCTATTGCTGGAGGAAATCGACGGGAACCAGCGAACACGGTAAGTCGCCGGCAGTTCCGCAGACCTGGCAAGATAGATGAGGGCCGGGGTTATTTAGAATGGATTAATTCGAGCATCCTGTTAATTTAGCCTATCGCATCAATCTTGGACGACCTCGGGTCGCGGCGCCGCCGTCATTCGCGAGCGCGTATTCGAGGATTTCAACTTTTGGCGGTTCTCCACTTCGCGCCTTTCTTCGAAAATGAAGATCGATCGACTTCAAGCAGGTCGACGGCCCGGTACCGAGGGGTTCCTGGATCCTCGAGAGACTCCCACGCTTGGCAGCTGATACTTCATTGTCATAATCGAGGATGATAATATCCTGGCAGGGTTAAGTCCCGCGACTAAATGGCGGTGGGAGAAATATGTTGCCTCATTATGGCAAATTAGGGATTACTTTGAGTACACGTCAAAGGAAAACCGTCGGCACGATTTCGTGAAAAACGGATCGCCGAGTTTTGCGAGGGAATACGCGTCGAAGTAGGACGTAGCCTATGGATCGATCGGGTTTTTAGCTCAATTTCGTTCACTTGCCCACGATTAAACCACGACATTTTTATATATTTTTTTTCCCAGAGAGAAATTCGTTTGACACGTATTGCAGGCTTCGTGGTTTCATCGAACATTGAGAGAGAAAAAAATGGTTGATCAAACTAAAATTATAGTTAATTCTGGCCTCAGTCATATTTTTCGACTCTAACACAAAAATGGTAGTCGTAATATTCATGCAAGACTATTGTCATTAACATTACGGTAGAATTTAATTAAAAAATGATTTCGTTGACTGTAATTTGTAGCAATTATTTTTCTATGTGGTTACAAGATTACAAATATCAAACATTCTTCCTTTCAGTGAAGAAACGCATAAATTAATTATCACGAATGCTAAGTATTCTCCTTCGTTCAAAATAAATTGAAAAATTATCGGAAATGACTATGATATTGCGAAACGATATTCTAGTGTGTAATTATGCGATTGAGAATGATATGCATATAGTCAGATCTTATATTTAAATATATCAAGATCGCCAAGAAGTTCATCCTCAGGTATTGTATGGATTATTTGCATTGGATGCGGAGAGTATCTGAAGGTGAATATAACGCAATCTTAAATATAAGATCGGATAAATACCGGTCTAAGAATCACGTGGCGAATTCCGTGGAATCTCTCGCGATGGATGAGGAAGCATGTAAAGCGAACGGCACGATTCTGATGATTTAGATGGACGAAATTGCTTCGAGCTGGTTGACTCGGGGGATAATCGATAGGGCAATTTTTCTATTCTTCGCGGTGCCGTGGCGCATTACCGGAATTGATCCCGGCACATTAGTTACCAGACGTGATATATCCGCCGCTACCATTTAATTACGGACTTACCGGTTTGAGCGGCAAAGTAGCACTCAGCCTCTTACGAAAAGCGTTACCCAACGAAATTAATCAGCAAATCCATTGCCTGCAGCCGCCGATAAGTACAAACTCTCGCGTGCGTGCTACTTTTGTTTGCGATGCTCATAAAGTATTATTAGCACCTATGCGTTTTACTATGCGCGCAACTACGTAGTAGTTGCTGCCGCCACCGATTCGCCAAGTTTCCAGTTAGCAAAGTTAACTCGTAGTTACCACGATATTAAAAGCTAATATCGGAAAGCTCGAAGTTCCGGAAATCCGAGGCTGAACCAGAATTACGCTGTATATCGGAGTTCGTGTGAACGCTATCGCGATATATCGGCGGATTAAATGCGCTGATTATAATTTTTACTTCGACTACGCAACACACAATTCGCATGCTTCGCAGCAATCGGCCGCGCGCATCGAAACATGAATTCGAAGTAATGCTGAGACACAGTTTTATCGTGTACACACTGAGAAAAAATATCTAAAAATTAATAAATATTTTTTAAGTGGGTATTTACCACTTATAATATATTTACTGAAATCAAAATTCTCTTCATTTAAACAGAGTATTGTTTACTCAGTTTAAGTAAACAATACCCGGTTTAAATGACGAGAATTCTGATTTAAGTAAATATGTTAATAGCACCCACCTAAGAAATATTTGTTAATTTGTAGATATTTTTTTCTCAGTGCAACGACTAAAAGCTTTGATTGTCGCGAGTGTTCTTCGTCTAACGTGAATCAAATTGAAAATGTATCGAAAATTGAGAGATCATGAAACTCTGAAATGATACTTCGTAATAAGGCAATTAGAAATCGCGTATTAGTTGTCATTTTCATCCCTATCGCAAACTTCGTGGTCTCATTAAAAAAGGCGTACAGCAATCGAGAGCTTCGATTGTTATGAGTTGTTAATTATCGCGGTGTCCATCGTCTCGTATTTGAATCATGGAAAAAAGCAACCACGCGAAATCCGTAGTTCAAATTTCCGTCCGTAAATCCTCTCGACAAGCGCGAATCGCGAATTTGACCTAAATTCCATCAAAAGCGCGATAAACGCATGCGATAGACCTCCTATTTATCCATGACGGAGTCCATTATTTAACGGCTCTAAGCACGATATTATGGACTAGTACGACGCTTACCATAATACGGCTATACGAGAGCGCAGTTTATAATTTCACCGGGGCTCGCACCTTCGAGTAAGGCGAAAACAAACGGCACTGTTTTACATGGCAATTTTCGCGGAGCACGCATGCTCCCGCGAATTCTCCGTGCGAGGCACCGCTCCAAGTTATCTGTCTTCAGGAACGCGATGAAAGTTTCAACGGCGCAATTTAAAGTTGGCCTATCGCGACAAGCTGCGCCCTTCGTTACGGGGCGCGGCGGCGGGTGCGAGGGGGATCCTCTCTTACCGGCAAACTCCAAGTATAGCTTACCTCAGGTCGTTGTTT